AAAAAAAAAAAAAAAAGGCATTTCCTTGTAGACACCTAAGGGACACAGTCTTGAACTGGTAGTTGTTCCTTTATTTGCAGGTATGCCCCTCTTTTGGATGGAATTTTATACTCATTTGATAAATAAAAGAAAATTAAATTTCGTAGCAATCTTTAACCTTAACAGAACTACAGTCTGTGTACCACTCAAAGTACTACTTTGTCATGAGACACAGCTCAGGCATCTAATATCCAAAATATAAGCACAATAAAAAACTTTTAAACTCAACGTTTGATAACAGGGGTTACACTAAACATAGTTATGTCCTTAATGGAATAGAGAACACAAGCTAATTGAAATATTAGCTTTTTTCTAACATCGAAACAAGGGCACAAAGTCATTCCTGAAAAAGTTTTCTAATTAATATATATGGAGCCCCCTAATCTCAAGTAAGATCCTTAATGGACGGGCGGGGATGGGAACATAACCATTAGCGTTTATTAAACTTCCCATTCGCACCTGGAAAATATAAAAAAATAAAAGCTTTTAGATGCACTTGGAGTTAGGCACAAATTGATTTGTTAAAGTAGCATTACATAAAAGCAGTAACAATGCGAGTAACAGGCTTCAACGTCGCTCTCCTAGTAACAGATCTTTTGCAAGGATGCCCATCTTCAGACATCAAAGCTCCGCGGCAAGCAGAAGGCAACCGCGGCCAGTGAGATACCGGAAACACCTTGCATTCTCACCTCCAACCTTCCAAAAGGTAAAGAAAACCTCGGAGGGGAATCTAACAATTCGCCTTTGATAACAGGGTCGTTGTCTACAAACCCCAGTTGAAACCAGACCGTAAGCATTTCGGATGGGCGTTTAATCCCTCCTCCGATCACATCTTTTTGTTCCATCCAACCACAGCGTTTCCAAAAAGGCTAACTCTGGACCCAGGCCACCTAGCTTCACAGATCTATCATCACAAAGGCCAAGAACAACTGGCCTCCTAGGCACCGCGAGCCCACGCTCGCCCACCGGCGAACGCACCTTTTAACCACGATCTATGGGTTCAAAAACCAAAGGACTTGTTGCAAACCTGCCCGATTCTACGTCGCTCGAGAAAGTGTGAAAGGAGGAGGAAGGCGCCACGCTGAAACCTGTCGCAAAGGCGGGCAAGAGAGTCCAGGAAACTGGGCGCGCGGGATACAAAGGGCCGTGAACGCGGCCTTCCATGAGGCGACAGTGCGCGGACGGAGAGACAAAATGGAGCGACGGGAGGAATCGGAGCCCGGGCTGCAGGGTCGGGGAGGAGGCGGCGGCCGGCGCGCGCTCCGCCGGGCTTCTTTCTTCA